GAGGTTAATGCGAGTTGAGAAAACGCCGCGCCCATTGTCGCGCGCGGCGGAGCGGCAAATTACGATTCTCTTGCCCGTCTCCCGTTGGCGTAAGCCCTGTGACAATGTTTCTAAAGAAAGGAATGTGAAATGTATATTGTGTAATTTGCGGTGGTTTCACCTTGCTAATTTTTGGAAGTCCCGTGATTTGGTATTATGGATGTGCGAACAACATTTTCGTGTTGTTTAACCTTTCCAAAAAAGAAACTCATTATATTAAATGATGTATGTGTTTTCTGTAAAATACCATTTCTTTTATATCATATGATTTGTTTAGTGGTGGCCGTGTGGCGAATCGAAAACAGAAGAAACGTATGGAAGCGATTGAGAAGGATCTAGCAGTGATTGATGATGACTAGTCAATTTCAATTCCAGTTTCTAGTTGTTGCTTTTTATTTTCTCTCATTTTTTTGTTTCCTTTTCTTCATCACCATTACTCTTTGTTCTCTGTACAATCACTATGTACGGACTCGTTCTCTCTGCGCAGCAGGCAGGCTCTATAAGTCGTTATTGATGAACCAGTTGTGGTTAAAGATCAGAGACGATAAGGTAGGTCTCATTTGGTGTAGAGTTCTGAGATCAGGGTACAGCATCGTGATGTGTGTAATGGCGGTATCAGTACTACACGGCCTCCCAAAGGTGGGGGGAGGAGGGAGGGCTGTGCGACTTTTCTCTCCATCCGGCTCTAATTATTGGCTTTAACAAAATGGATACGATATACAGCGAACTGCAAGCGTTTATAACGGCTCTAGGATCCCAGCGCGAAATAGCCCTGGAGCAGATTGGTTGAAAAGGCAGAAACTGCAGTGCTTTCTCTGAGGGTAACAACTTTTTCAGGTGCAGAGATTTTTGGAAACGGAACGCGTCATTCCAGTGAGATGGCCCTAGTGTTGCGCTTATTAATCACCCTTATCTAAGTGATCTGTGTTTGAGAACAGTTTCGGATGGATTCAGAGGAGGCAAATCGCACCTCGAGATTTCAGGCTTCGAACAGCAATAACTTTTTCCATACGCATTCTTTGCAAAACCCTCCATTCCAGAGTGCCCTGAAGA